GCTAATTCATGCATCGGTAGCATTTATTGAAATATTGCAATATCTTGTAAATGAGATTACTTCTCAAGATCTTTTTGAAAACCTACCTAACCAGGATTTATATCAATATCAATAGAGAATAGAACAGAATTCACCTCTTCCCAGTTACTTTAGGTACCAAAGTCTTGATATATGTCCCTAAAAGCTAAACAGCTTGGGACCTAGTTATCTAAAAGACAACCTCCTGCTACTTGAGCCATTGGGATAGTGACTTCTTCTAGGGTCCTTCACCATTTAAAATTAGATGGGTAGACGCTTGGGAAAATACTTTTTTTGATTGTGGGACAAACACATCTTAAGTTAATGCACTCAGGCATTGCACTTTAAGATATGAGGCTCCTTCATTTTTCTGGGTCTGTTGCTATTTTGTACATTGTGCCATCATTTTTACTATGTGCCATCAAGTCTCACTGAAGAGAGGCCTGGAAATTCTTTCCTTTCTTTCAGAAGAAATGTGGATGAATTTTAATACTGTACCAAAAATGAGAATCCTGTTCTTCTATCAGGTGGAACTATTTTTTATAGATTGGAAAAGCTGAAAACATATGTTGGGGTTGTGCAGTAGAAGCCGATGCAAGAGTTTTCAGAAAAAGCAAAGAGTACATATGATGTACAGCCCTAGCAGCAGCATCCCGTGGCCATAGCCAAATATTCATTTGACTGATGTTTGGGGCTCAGGTTTCCCAAGCAGGTCCCCAGCGCTATACAGCCAAATGTTTTGAAAAGTGAGGGGGGCTGCAAAACCAGTTTCTGATGTGTCATAGGTAAAAGCAAGGAAAGTATCTGTCAGTTTACACCTGGTTGGACTGTGGCCCACTTCTCCAAGGAAACACTGCGCTGAAAAGCATTGTAAAAGAGGAAATTAAATGCTTTTCATAGGAAGGGCTGCATTTATCCTTAAGCCACTGATGAGGCATTAATAGCATCTGCATTCCCCACAGTGCTGCCTCCATTTCTCTGAGGCAGCAGCTTCACCTAAATACTTTCCATTTAGGCTTTGAAAATATTGCCCCCCCCACCCAAAGTGGAGGAGCATCCTGTGCCCAGAGCAACAGATCACGGAGAATTCTGGAATGTATGTGATTGAATTGCGGGAAGGCACACTGAAAGCTGTGTTGGAAGATGGTGAACAGGGCAGGCAGGTTTCTTGGATACAATTGTTGATGCCAAATGAATGAAAGCTGGTCCTGAGGGATTCACAGACCAACATCACTGTCTGGTATAATAAGCATATGACGTCAAGTCAATTCTGACGTATGGTGACCCTTTTCAGAGTTTTCTAGAGAACTCGGAAGTAGTTTACCATTCCATTCTTCTGGGGGGCATCCAGGGACTGTGCAGCTTGCCCATGGCCACTTGGGCTGGCTTTACTCCTGGGAGTCATGGTGGACAATCAAACTCCCAACCTCTGGCTCTGTAGCCAGATACCTAAACCACTGAGCTATTCAGACAGCTTTTCTGTCTGGTATAGTCATGCAAAAACACCTGGGACCATTAGGCAATGACAGTGATTGGAAATTGTCTTTGCTTCTCAAGTAATGTGAGGAGGATTTGGGAGAGATCTGTCCATCTACCCAGCTTAGACTTATATATCACAATGGGATTGCAGTGCTACTATTAGAAGAAGATCTACAATCAAAATAAATGCTTCATCTCTCCTCCCCATCACACACATGAGAGGCACTTATTTGCAGCTGCTTGAAACAAAACTCTCCTTGTTCAAAAACACATGCCGAGCAGTTAACAGGCTGTCCTGAGTAACAGGATTTTATTACCAGAGCCGCAAAACTTCTCAGGGATTCACATGTAACTCTTACCATCACCAAAATGCTCTCCAGATTTTTTAGCAGGATGAAAAAGAGAAAGGAGGATATAACTTGGGATGTGGTCCAAGGGCATGAAATGTGTGTGTGTGTGTGTGTGCGTGTGCATGTACACACATACAAGCACCCCAATCAATATTTATGTTTCTTTTTCATTATTTAAAATTATGCTTTAACATTTCTAGTAAGTTTTAAATGAATGCCTACTGTACAGGTTGCAAATTAAGTACAATTATTTTTCTCTTCTGCACTTGAATATAACTCACAGCTAAAGTCATTTAAAGGGGTTAACATCAACCTTAATTAAATATTAAAGTGTGCCTGTACCTGCTGCTATTGTTGCCCTTAGAATAAGATATAACCTATTTTTGACAAGTTTTCATCTTTCTCTGTGGAAGACGCTACATGAAACCAAATCAGTGGCAAAGAGGAGGGTAATGAATAATCTATTTCATATTCCAACTGTACCCAGAGCTCTGAGTGGAAAAATATTCAGTCAGATGATAGCGTGAAGCTGCTGAGGTACCACATGACGCAGCTAATGTTTAAATAATAATAATAATAAAAACCGCGATAAACAAATCATTAGCCCTTAACATTTGTTTAATGCAATTTGTTAATGAACGTAATGGTGGAGACTAATAATGAAAGAAAATAAAAACGTCTAAACAGGCGCCAAGCTGCCAGTGATGCTCAATTATTTCCTTGTCAAGTTTTTATGATTTAATGAGCTCCTCTGGGACTGACGGCTGTCAGTCAGTCGTGACTTTTTGACACCATTACAACTTCAAATACAGCAGCAGGCAGGCTGTTTTCCTCGGATTTGAAATACTGAAATGATCTGACAGGTTTAAAGAAAAGATGTGCAAAGGGGAGGGGGAGAGAGGGGAGACACACACAGTTGCTTTTTTTTTTTTTGTGGGGCAGACAATCTCGGGATGCTGTTTGGTAATGAAAACCCAATCATTGAGGTCATTATCTGATGAGTTTTTTTTTAGGAACTGGCAGGGTTTTTTTTTTCTTTATTTCTTTACTTAATGATAACCCTCAATGGGTTTGCCCCGCATGGGATGGTCAGAGCCGCACAATTTTGTTCACCATTAATTTCTGCCTTTGAAGCTCCATGCTCTGAAGCAGCAGCAAAGAAAACCCCCCACCAAGCTGGCTGCAAAATAAGACAATCCAGCCTGCCTTAAACAGAATACCAAATGGCCTTCTATCCCAGAGATGGGAACTGACGTCAGTCAGGCTACATTTTTCTGATATTTTTCCCAAAACGTAAAGCATTTAAAAACTCTTTAAAACTTAAGCATCTTTAATTAAACTGTGTTTGATTCTGCATCAGTGTAGAATTAGTTGAGTGATTCTACACAGTAGAATTATTTAGCAAATAAGAATTCTACACACTGCAGAAGAGCATGTGAATGTGCATGCCTTAATTCGTCATAATTCAATGAAGGCTTCATAATGTTAGAACACTTCACTTTTTAAATGGTTACATTGTGATTCATTTGATTCATTCACTGACACCCTAAAGATGTGACAAATAAGTTAAGTGGAAGACAGAAGCTGAGTAGTGGTGGAGAGTGCACCTGGTTGTTCTTCCATTTGTAGGCATTTCGCTAAGGCGCTGTAGTGCCAGGGTGATGCCCATTTAGCCAGTGTGGATGCAAGGGCAACAACTTATTTTACATCAAAAACTCCTACAACATTCTATATGAACAAATGAAAATAACACCAGCCATTTTTTTTCCAGACTCACATTTGACCAAATGAAGATGTATTATGAACAAAGGAGTTTTTTGGGCTGAAGGGGTTATGTTTCTGTGCTGTGATGGGTCTTGGGGGGTTTGTTTGTTTTTTGGTATTTTTCCCCCATTGCTGATGGGTCTTGGGGGGTTGTTTGCTTTTGGGTCCCTCCCCATTTCCGATGGGTCTTGCAGGGTTTGCTTGCTTTTTGCTTTGGTTTTTCGGTATTTCCAATGGGTCTTGCAGGGTTTGCTTGCTTTTTGCTTTTATTTTGCATTTCCAATGGGTCTTGCATGCTTCACTTGCTTTGTGCTTTGCTTTTTTTTGGTAAATTTCTGTTGGATCTTGCACACTTCGCTTGCTTTCTGCTTTGCTTTTTTTACATTTCCGATGGGTCTTGCATGCTTTGCTTGCTTCCCCCCACTTTGGGAGGAATGGATTAATTATGTTTCCGAAGGGTCTTGCAGTCTTTTTGGTGATTTTTTTTTTCTTTGACCAGAAAGGATTAATTACATTCCAACGCATTTCAATGGGAAATGGTGCTTTGCCTTATGACCATTTTGAGTTATGACCAGAGTTCCAGAAGCATTACGTTCGTAAGTTGAGGCACCACTGTATATTAAGTGTGGTGTAGTGGATAGAGTGATGGACGAGGATTTTGGAGACTAAAGTTCAAATCCCCACTCATCCATGAAAATTCAGTGGGAGAATGGAACTGGTAAAACCTCTCCTTAAATATTTCTATCTCTCTCTCTCTCTCTCTCTCTCACACACACACACACACACACACACACACACACACACACACACACACACACACACACACACACACACACACACATGGGTGTTGTTGTTGCAGAAACTTTTATACAGTCAGTGTGCAAAATCCTAGTAAGTTTTTAGATGGATGTAATGTATTGGGCATGAATCTTGGCAGTGAATTGATGTAAATTAAGAAACTAGCCTAACCATTTGTTGTTGTGTGCAGGTTCATGTATATGCAATAGCAAATACTTATGCTAACTTGTTAACCTACAACCATTTTGCCACCAAGATTTATATCAATTGTGTTACCAGCAATAATATAACTAACAGGATTTGGGCAAGTGAGATTTAAGTGCAATGTAGGAAATAAATGTACAAGAATGTATAAAGCACCATGAGATGTCAAATAAAACACAGAACCTGGAGTCCTTCAGTAGGTATGCTGCAGTGAAATTCCAGGTATGTTTTTGATATCCTAGAGATGAATTTTTTTAAGAAAACCAAAGAATCTTCGTATTAAGGTGCCTAGTGAGACAGAAGACAATGTCAGCATTAATGCTGATGTTACCACTGGTGTCAAGAGATAGATAAATAACAAAAACAGATAACCAATAATCAGTAAAGTAACATAATTTATTTATTTTTATTTGAGATTTATATTTACAGTTGCTCACAGAACAAAGGATTTATGAAAATGCACATCTTCTAACCTGCTTTGATACATACCATACTTTTTAACACTGGCAAGCGTCTCCCTCAATCCCATTTGCCCAGATCCCATTAACTCAGTCATACGCTGTTATTAAGATGGTAAAGGCTGTGGTTCTGTTTACACAACTTAAATGATTTATCTGAAGAAATGCATGCCCTACCCTTTTTCAATAAATAGCATTTCTCTTGTGAATCTCCTCATCTTACATTTCTTCACTAAGCTACTCAAGTGTTATTTGAGTTGGCTACATCAACATAGATTTCATTCACTTCTTTGTGTCCTGGCAGCAAACAAGTTTAGGACCAAATTCCATTTCGAGGTGTTTGAATAGGGATATCATGGAAGCCAATAGAAACTTGCTATTCTTTAAAATAATAGGTGAGATAAAGCTTCTAGATTTTAATGGCCTTCAGGTGATAACCTTTTTAAAAGTTTTTTTTTATTTTGTAAAGATTTAAAATTTGTAGCTTCATAGTCTTGGCAAGGAACAATCGATGATGAATATTAAAAAGTAGTATGAAAATCTTTCTTTAGGGAATTTTATAGAATTCTGATGAAATTCTAATCATTCTTTAACATCTTCAGTGCACAGATGCTAGAAGAGAATATTGCACATACTCATTTTATAGTAGAGGTGGCCACACTGAGGCTTCAGAGCTGCAGGCATTAAACAAACATTTGTGACAACCCAGGGCCGGAAAACAGAATGGCATGGGCATCAGATTCAACAAGTGCCTCTACAGATTTCATTTAAGAGCAACTCTTCAATGAAATATGAGAGGCCTTTGATCCATGTTCCCCCACAGTGGAACTCCAGCCCCTGACCCATTCCTCTTCTTATTGTAGTGCAGGTGCTGCACTAGGGCTTATTGAAAGCATGTGGGATAACATCCAGGAATTCCAGAAATTTGGGAAATGTAGTTTCTAGAATTCTCGGAATCTCAAAACATTCATAAGCACATGTATCAAACAGCCCATAACTCCTGGTCACCTAGATGTTTGACAGCACACTCACAGCGGTACAGCCCAACAAAGGCCCTAAGATTACAAGGAAACCTTCATGTCTACTAATGTGCAATAACAAGGAGAAAGGGGGAAATGGAAGTGGAGAAAAGAGTTCACGTTATAGACTTATTCCACACTGAGTCCAAGCTGAGGCCTGTCATGTGGAGATATTCTAATCAAGTTCTATGTGGACATGTGTATATGTGCATGTGTAGCAGGAGGAGACAAAGAGAGAGAGAGAGAGAGAGAGAGAGAGAGAGATGGACAGATAGATGGATGGATGGCAGGCAGGCAGGCAGGCAGGCAGGCAGGCAGGCAGATAAGCAGACAGACAGGGCTTGGTCAACAAAATATGAGAGAGAGAGAGCTATCTCATATATTTAGAGGTCTAAGGTAACTTAAAGATGTAGCCAAGAAAGCCTTTTATTTAAACTCAGTTCAGGAACTGTCTCCATCTTGGACTTTGTGATTAATTTGGTTTTTACCTCAGTTTATTTTTATGTTATATGCAAACTGCCCAAAGTAGATGTGTTCTAGATGGGTGGTATATAAATCTAATAAATAAAATAAATAAAAGAAGTGTCCATGCCTTCTCAGTCCATGACTTTGCTAGGTTGAGTGGCAAATTCTGAAATCTACTAGTTTCTGCTTGAAAAACAAACAAACTGAACTCTCTACACAATTAAAGATCCAGAAAAAGTAGGGTTCCTGATGCCACAAAGAGCCATGCTGAGATTCAAGGGAACGTGAATAGAACTCTCTTGCTGTTCATCCTGGTGGGATGAGGAGTGAGTGAGAATAATGTGTAAGGGGATGCTGAGGGTGGGCTTAGCACTTCAACAGATAATGCACTGGTTCAAAGAAAAGCATGATTTCAGTTAATCCTACGGGTACACATGTAGGGAACCAGAACTGGCCACAGCATATATTCTAGGGAGTATTGATTGTATGAAGAGAGTAGGAAAGAAGGTAGGAGGAATGACAAGAACCTGACTTGTGATGCTGTAATATACATGTTGTAAGACATAAGCAGCAGCATCTATAATAGCAGCATAGACTGATTTCCTTGGACAGAGGAAAAAATTGTTAATTCAACTGTTTACTGGCCATCTCTGGGTAAGGACTTCAAAATGAAATAAAACAATTTTTGTTTCAATGAAATGAATGTTATTTTTAGGCATGATTTATTCAAAATATTGCCACCACATCACCTTGTCATATTTATTGTAACATAGTGCTTCAGATTTTAAACCCTTTTATTTTGGGGTTTATTCATTATCTTGAATTTAACTTCAGAAATGAGTTGGAGGAAATCTCTACACATCTATTAATCAATCTTTTTCCTTTGAACTTCACATACATTTAAATCACAGTAATACAAAGCAAAATTAACAGTGTAATAATATGGTCATAGGAGAACACAGCAAGAGATAACCCAGGACTTGATGCAGATGAGAATATGTACAGTGTCAGAATTTTTTAAAAAAGAACAGTTATCATGTTACAATAATAGATTCACAGTGGAATTTAAGCTATTCAGTTAAAAGGTGATATGTTTATTAGATACAATAACTCCTTTGCTTTGTTGGGTTATATCTGTGATAATTACTCAAGCACAAATATGACACCCCTTTTTTGTTTTTGAGATCTTGTGTGCTCCTTGTCCAAGTCCCTCAAATGAGAAGTCTCAAATTTCTGATATAAATTTAAATACTAATTCGGTGTAAGTCAAGTGTGTAAATCCTTACAATCATGAATATTAATAAGGGCCTAGAATTTCATATGCAAATTGCATTGCAGTCTTATATATCTGTTAATTTTGTATGTTTATTTTATACATTAATAACGAAAAACCATATGAGTCATATTATAACACACTCTCTAAAACAAGAAAAATATCAAATGGACATGCAGCCTATAAGACAAAATATTTATGCTACTTGCTCCAGAGTTGAACTGTAGATTTAGGAAGGCAGACTTATTTCAGTGTAAGAGAATGATTCATGTGACCACTTTGTCTTAATTACTCTGAAGTAGTTTGCTGCTGGTTAGCAAAGAACAAAGATATCAGTGTCCTCTGACAGAAAAATAAATAACCATAATGACTGCTAAGACCACGATGATCCCCAAGATAACTATCAAAATCCGGTTCTGGATGATCCTAGGAGAAAAAAAAATGAAGAAGAGAAAGTGATGAAAGAGAACAAGACAACAGGCAATTTATGCAACTCATCCAACTTTTCTTTTCCTTGTGACTTACCCATAGAGTACAAATAAGTGTCTTATAAGTCTGTTGTCTTTATTGATTTTGCTTGTTACTTTTGTCACTGGGGGCTAAATCCGATGTGACATTATTCAAGTGGTTAAGTCCTTGCATGATTGTTTAAACAATAACAATAAAAGCAACAACAGACTATTTGCTGCTTCCCAAATGGGATCAGACATCATAGAGAAAAGTGGGCTGTAACTCTTTGCTACCCTGTCACAGCTTTGTTCTGAATTAGCTTAAAACAGCCTTGTAAAGGTAGTAGAAGATACTTGGTTTGGTGGTCATCTACCAGACCAGAAGACATTTTGTCACATTACTGATAGGTTTATGTACTGAGAGGCTGGGTTTTATGAATACATACAGGTACTTTAAACATAATTTAACATTGCTTTGTATCCCATAATACATCTAAAGAGTTAAACCTTGATGAATTAAAACTGTAATAGGATTCATAGAAGAAAGGGGCTGGCTATGTATCTATAAAGTATTCCAAAGTATTGTATCTTCTCATATAATTTTATTTCAGCTTCTTATCCGAACGGAAATAGTTAAATAATTTTCGCAGATTTTGCTATTAAGGCAAAAGATTTCAAGAACAGGAAATATGTGTTGGACAGGTTGTACCAAGGGAAAGATATAAAACATAGTTGTGAGGGAATGGATGATATGTTATAAAGAAGCAAGTACTAAAGTGTGAAGCCTATGTGTTGAAAGCCTTATTTATCTCATTTGCACAAATTCACTAATAAGGCAGCAGGCAGAAATCAGTAACAACATAAAGGTCCAAAAAGTCACAAGATATATTATTACAACTTTTGTAGAGACAAATTTTTCATTCAGTTAGGATAAAAGCTATCACTTATCAGAGTTTAAACGACATAGAGTGATTTAGGAGCTATTAAAAATAGTTGGACAATTGGATGATAATTGATAATTTGATAACGATAACACAGTAATAGGATAATTCAAATTTTGTGTGTGTGATTTGCAAAAAAGAACAGAGTCCTTCTAAAATGTTATGTAATGTAAAGGTCCAATGTAATTTTTAACAGCGTTCTCCTCAAGTAATGTTAATCTTATGAGAGGAACATTTGTGGCTGAAGAATGTTACAAGAATCAGGTGGAGAAAAAATTGTAACCTAATGAAGTTCTATTTACTTGTATTTATAGAAAAATTGAAAGCAATTATCAATAGCAAAGAAGGGGTAGTCAGGGTTTATTAGGCCCTGCTATCGCATAAAACTAGTGTGGAGTTTGCTAAAAACATCTTTTTGAAAATGCAAAAGTTACTGTTTATATAAAGAACAACCTATCACTTCAGATGGGTTTGGATGCACAGAAAGGAGAAGAGTGGATGGATACAGTTTTTAGCTAACTTCCCATCCCTCCCTGCTTTTTTCACCATGCTCCCCACTGTTCCAACATCCCACCTAAAAAAAGAGTAAATGGATGGATGAAAACGGTCACATCAGACAAACACACTCCCCTGTGACACTTTAAAAGGACTAGCTCTCTATCCTCCTGACAGGTTACAAAATGATCACATTTGCTGACACGTCTTCCGCAAAACTGCTTTAGTGCCTGTGTCCACTTTGCTAGCAGGAGATGAATGGCTTGCTTTGTCCTCATTTATCACTTAAAGCTGAACTAAGATCTGTCTCGTTTATTTTTCCCGTCCTCACTAGAAAGGATAAAGCGCAGCATTAATTCTCCCACGATGACAGCTAATTCAAACTTAACAGGCAATATTTACTCTGCCAAAGGGAACGGGAGTTCTCTGTCTCTCTTAGAGGGGAAAATGCTTAATGGTCTAACAAACTAAACCTAATTAAAGGGGCTTCTGCTTCTTATTAGTTTGCAGTGCAGATTAACACCTGAATTTACAGATAACACCCTCTTCTCTGTCTTTCTTTTCTTCGTCTTTTGGGCCATTCTCTAGCAAAAACAAAAACCAAAAAACCCAAAACACCATTCCACTTGATCGTGAACTTTTTGCCCAAATAAATGCATGAAAAGCAGGGTGCATATTTATTATTATTATTATTTATTTTTTTACTTAGTCACCCTCAATGAGCCTGAAAAGGAACTGAGGAAAATTGAAATGCAGCAGAGAAACAGATTATAAAGCATGAAGACTAAATAAATAAATAAATAAATAAAGAATTATCCTTAAGTAACGTAACAGTAATACGCCTCTAATACAACTGGGCTGACAACCATTTTATTTGTGGGATGGGGGCCCCAAGGCATCCATAATGCTAATGTACAAAAGATTAACTCTGGATGAAACTTGCTCAGTCTAATACATAGTTAGGCAAATGAACACATCTTACAAGCTGAATTCTTAAGCCAGCACCTCACATCTGACCTAGTTATTAGTGTTTACTCACAGCCAAATTAAAGGAAGCGGGGGGGGGGGAAGAGAGAGATTTCTCCAAATGTTTCATTTCTAATTCTCTGGCTGCACACTTGATTGCAAGATTGCTTAATCTGCAAGCTTGTCTCTAAAATCCTCATCAGAAGAAGAGGAAGCATTGCAGACCTCCACCTGTATCTGCTAATTAAATGTTCCATTAAAGTGTGAATGTAGGATGTGTATATCAATGTTCAACTTCTAGGATTCTGAATTAGCTTGCCCATTGCAGCCAAAGAATATAATATTGAACAGAACAAATTAATCATGAAATAGGAAGGATGTTATCAGCATGCTTTTCTGCAGAACCATTATTGTAGTTCATATTTAGCCCTAAAATAAAGTCTCTTTATATCTGTTCGAAAGTTTTGTAGACTCCAGGGAAGCAGAGCGGGAAGACTTTAGGATCTACTGCTGGAGGAGCTGAGCTCCAATTCATAGGGTGATAGAATGGCATAATTTAACATTAAAAAAACCTTTAATTCTAGATTTAGTATGTATCAGATCCCAAGCCAATAAGCCAGGATGCTAAAGAAAAGATTGGAGAGGGAACAGGACTGGGGGGCTGGGTGGGATTTCATCAGCACTGTGTAATCAAACCAGCTCACAGTGGCAGAACAATGGTTGGCATTGGCAGGGCCCATCTGTAAAGAGGCCTCTGGTACTGTCACAGCCAGACACTGCCAGTGGGTATTGCTCCAGGCAAAGCAACAAGGAATTTTTAGCAGGGGAAGAAAAGGGGGGAAAGTAGGGTTCAACATCATCTGCAGGAAAAAAAAGCCACACTGCTAACTCACCAACAAGAAACAAATGATATCTGCTACTTTGGATTCCTTTTACCTAAAAAAATTCAGCAAAATCTGGGAGACAGGGAACCGAGAGCTTCCTTTGAAAATGCAAAGTATGTTTACAGGGTAAATAATTTAAGAAAGAATATATACTTGAAAGGAGACACCCACTGAAACATCCATGGCTAAAGTGCCTGAAGGCAAAAACTTGTGCATTTGCATGCTGCATTTTATTAAGTTAGTACACTGTAGCTTTAAAAGAATGCATGGCCAAATTAAAAGGAATGTGTGACTAAAACATCAAGGATGCTTCCAGTTTGCATTATGAATCACAGTGTTGCTGATATTAAGACGAATTAACTGTTTATTGGATGCAGCCTATGAGCTGAATTCAGGAGTTGTTCCCCCCCCCCCCCCATCCGTATACTGCTGTAAAATAAGGCTGGAAGAGACATTTCGAATCTTCCCCTTTTTATCTTTCAGTGAGTCTTGCAGTACAACTGTTCCCATGATGGGCTGGATCAGCCATCAAATTCCCTGCACAAATATGTCACCAAAGATTGATGAAGCAACTTACACAGGGGTTTTTAAAAAAGCAAACTTCTGAAATAACCCTTAGTGATGAAAGTCTGTTTGTAAGAGCTGCTGATTTTTTACTGTTCAACAACACAAGGGTTTTCACCTGGTCTTAATTTCAGTTTGTATGAAGCCCTCTATCAATCACAGTTCCATCCATGGATCATGTGCACGTTCCATAATGTGTAGGAGTACAAGTTGAACAACTCTACGCAGGCTACATGCTCAGCTATGGCTGTACCAGTTCTGAACCTTCTGAAGAAAACTCAGGACAAGGCAGCATGATTGTCGAAAAAATACCAATGCAGAAGTGGATGATACCTTTAATCAACTATTAAGAATATAAAACAAAAAACCAAAACAAATAAAAAAACCAAATAACGAGCTTTTGATGATAAATCATCTTCAATCCCTTGCAGAGACACATATTCTAATGTCTCATTTACACAAGATTTCATAGTATAGGTTGGAAAGGCAGAGACACTGGATGCATCAAGGTGAACTGAGATCAAACAGAAAGAGTGCTTTGGCCTGCAAGTCCTTCTGGATCCAGTTCTAGAACAGTTACCCCTTTGGTTACCCCTTTGGTTATTTATACTTTAAGACAGCAAACATGTAATCTGCCTTCTGTGTAACTTTGCCATAAAAAAAAAAATCTAAGAGCACGTATACAGGACAACATGGCTGATTTGAACTGTTTGACTTGAAGAAAGGTTGGGAGCTGGTATGCCATATTTTGAGTTATCTGTGGCAAAATGATTGTGTGGGTATAGATAATGCAAAACACAACTTTGACCTCCCTGTCCATGCAGTCATTTTTATCAAACCAACCAACCAAGTTTTATTTGTTAGGTAAAACTAAACATTTAATGCATAAATATTAGGCCTTCTCTTCCAGATTCCTTTTGCTTACGTTGTGCCATAGTGCCTACATCCTCCCTGTCCATGCAGTCACAAATTCCTAAACTTAACAGCCAAATTCCTGTTGTCTGCTGTAGTAAATTGCAGTAGAGTAGGATCAGTGAATCAATTGTGCTTTAGTGAGTCAAGTCCTCTATAAGTTCCACTGATTCAAATGGGCCTGTTGTAACTTCAGCTTACTTTAGCATGGTGCA